AATGAAAAACACCAGTATTCCAAAAGTTGGCATTAAATACAAACCACAAGGAAGAAGAGATTCTCTGAAACAGAGGAAGTATTGGAAGGAAATTACACACTAGAGGCCTCACAGCAAATGCATTACACCGAAGAAGAAAATAAATTGTGCAACTATACCAAGGATCTTTTCACATGGGGTAATCCGTTTTCAAAGGTGTGAGGAAGCCCATGTGTGGTCAGATAACCTGTTTGGTCTCGTAATACGGGCACTTACAACTAAAGTAGTCGTGTTACAAAATGGCACAGATTTTTATACTATTTGTAACCTTACGTCAAATTATAATAATTTGCGTTTAGTTAACTAAGTATGGTTATTAATTCCTTGTAAGATCGTTGATTATATCTCTATTAATAGCATTCGCACAATTAAAATTCCACCGTGCAATTAAAAATCCACGTCTATCAATCAAAATTCTGAATGGAGAAAAATTGTTTAAATAAGACTTACGTAGCAATTTCCATGAAACATCAACAAAAATATACCTCACAGATTACGTATCTACAACATCTATATAAAGAAAGGATGAATAAAGCTAAATTGGCGAGGTAAACGTTAAGCTAGCTCACTAAGGGAACAAAAAATATTTAACGCGAATAAATTAAATGTTTTACATGTAAAACATTTGATCTTGAGATTTCAAAAGTCAAAAATGCAAACGACAGTTGTGTTCACTTGTTCTAAAAAGTACGCAATATCAAAATTGTGTCAGAAGTGACTAGTAGTATTTTACTTACCAATATTTATACATATATTCTCTCTCATACTTATATTTACTTTTATTGTTAAGTAATGTTTTTAGACTTTGGCAGCTTCTTCTAATATTTTATTCGCAATGTGTTCTGTACCGTCCGTATGCAAATATCTCTTGCAAACAAACAATGCAAGAGCCACTAAAATAGATCTTCTTAGAAGTAATAAATACGTCATCAAATATAATATACCTCCAAAGGTAAAGATGTGCTTGAATTTCTCAAAATTTAAATTATTCTTAAATGAAAACGAAAAAAATATTGAAATTAATATATGTTCAAAGAGGTATAATTGCACACGTGGTATGTAAGGAAACTCGCTCCTATCGCTCATTTTCGTAAACATACTACTCATGCAATTATCTCTTTCAACACTCGTTTCATTAATTACTATTATGTTGCAAATAATAGAGTAGGAGTATTATTTCATCTGTACCTTGTAAATCCCGCTTCAGTAAACGTCTCACAGAACACAATTATGGTGATTACCTAACATCTGCTAACACTGACTTCATAAGAAAATTGTATCTTATATGCAGCGTCTATGGTCAACTGTCACTTTTATAAACCCTAATTCAATATAACGAAATAACATTTAACATAATTCATTGCCATTGCAGCCTGATCCGCTTTGAATACTTCATCTTTAGCACGTCTTCCCCTGAAATTCGCCACCACAAAATTACACACGAAAGGTATAACTCTTAAAATGTATGTAACATTTCAATCATCAAGATGTAATACAACTTACAACTTTCGTAATATTGATATTTCTTTGTTTGAGCAAAAAAAGTACATACGTTTTGATGTTTCTTTTAATTTTTTAAATCTTATAATTTTAACAAAATGAACATTTTTGAATCTGATAAACGAGTGAAAGTTTTATTTGTATGAATATTACAGAGAAAAAAGTGTGAGCCCTTTTGGGAAAGATATCGTTGAAGTGTTTTCAATGTGACTCAATTTGGAGATAGATTATTCTCAGAACGTTTTGAGATATCAAAACAAAATGTAATAAATTATTTAAAGCAATTTTGTTCACATAATCATTAAACGATGAAATACATCTGTAATATATTAATGAACATTAGGAAAGGTTTTGGTTAGAATCCTCATGTAACATACTGCTCCCAAAATCAAAAGATCCCTTTCAATGTCTTAACGCATTAAGTGCAGCCAGATCAATTTCAGAATATTCAATTTGGAAAAAGCCCACTCGCTGTTAAGGGGCTAGTGATGTTCACCGATGATCAGGCAGACGAATGGGTTTTGAAAAGTACACATTTCTGGTATGAGGGAGACTCAAAACGTGAACATTTTACGAAATCTCAACACCGATTTTTTTGTTTTAGCATTGCTGTCAACTCTCTCTGTATTACTACGTATGTACAAATGCACGAGAAAGAAAAATAAGTAACAACTTCTAATAAATTAAAATAATTTGAATAAAATTAATTAGATAATATTTTCACGTTTTATTGCAACAAAAAAGAAAGTATTTCAACAAATGTTAAAAAATGTAAAATAATCAATGTTACATAACACTAATAGAATACCCCCTACCCCTACGTAACGCAGCGGAACTCTCCTTCAAACTCCCTCGCCCCTCGTTAGCTTTACGTACTTTATGGACGGCCCCTTATGAGAATTGACAGAATGACACAATCAATTTGCAATTGCATTCTTCGGTCAAAAACAAAGCTCTTTTTGGACTTTCCCCGAGTCCCTAACCGGAAGGGGGGGTTCAGGGCTTCAATCAATGTCACTGCAGTGTCTCTGATCGGGAGGACCTAGATTCGAGTCCCGACAGTAGCAAGATTTACACTAGCTTGTGAGCTAGGTCGAATTCAGTCGCCGTCCGCAGGAGGATCTAGAGGCCGACTGTTCCGATCGGTAGTTTTCCGTGGTTATCCCGTTCAACACCAGATAAATGTCCGAGCAGTGCCCTATCAAATGGTCCATGAACAGCACGCGATCATTCCTCCCTCTTCCTTGTCCTATCTTTCCCCCTTACACACACACACGTACACTAACACGCAATACACTACCATACATGGACGGAGACCGGTCGGGAGCTTAGAGGTTGTCCCGGCTGGAGTGGTGCCCGCCGGTGGGAGATACCTGGTTAGGGGAAATCCCGCTAGCCGACTGTAGATCGGCGCCGGATCTCGCTATTTATTGGGGGAAGATCGCCACTTCCTGCGGAAGACATGCGCTACACTTACGGGACCAGTGACTTCATTAGTTGACGCGCCCGGAATCACTAACAACCAACCAACCGAGTTCCTTGATATAAAACAACACCATTGACACTTCTTTCTTGGTTGAAGCCTGTGGAGCTTTCTTTCAATTTCTACACGCATTAAACATTAGTAACAAACATTACACTATAAGAACGCAAAGTTTTCAATTTGTAATTGATCCTGTTCAAGCTTCCAGATGAATATATTCATTACTGTGGGAGGAGTTGTACATAAGCAGAAAAATGTAAATATTCATTTGCTGGCCTACCTTTTACAAATAGTGTATTTGGAAGAGATGGTGGAAACATCCTTAATGTCTTGCAGTTTCACTAACCAATAAATGTTGGAATCATTTAATAATTGATATAAAATTGTCCATTATCAATAATTTACATATGTATTTTGTTTTTATTAATGATTTAAACACCAACTGAGATATAATACCCACAAATTTCCACTTTAGTAACATGTTTATTGTATTGTTTTTGAAAAAATAAAAAAAAATCATATCTTCTTCTTGTCTTTCTACTGATCTGCTAAACTGAACTAATTAAAACTTATAAAGTTGCAATATGTTAGTAGCTTAATTTTGTTCCACTAAAGTTCAGCACATATGATTACAATTTTTAAGGGTCTTATTTTCATTCACAAATTTTATCTTGGCGGGGCACGTGAAATTTACTATCTTTGCCTCTATTTTCACTTCATTCCCACTTTTAGTGAATTCCATGCTCGTGAATATTTACTTTTATTTTTTATTAAATAACGCATTAATTGCGCGCATTAATTTTTCAATATTGGGCAGATCACAATAATACTTTTGTAAGCTGAGATAAAAATATTTATAAAACATTTGATTGTATGGTGACAGAATACACATATTTATTTGAAATAAATTTGACAAATAATGTACATCCAATTAGAATTTACCTGTTATTTTACATAAGTTTAAATTTACACGTAAACCAAGTATTTACATACAATTTTTCACATTCATACATATTCACATTTCGCACTCCCCGGTTGTACAATGTGATTAGGGGCTAATAGTAGTGATAGGTAAGCTATGAATTGAACCGGATTATCAGAGGGGAAATAGACTAAAAGTTGAGCCAGTAGTTGAGAGGTGCGTTGACTAAGATTAAGAGCAAATTTGAGAGATGTGTTGATAAGTAAGCTGAGATGGGAATTTATACGAGACCTGATCTAAGAATTGAATTAAGCGATACACTAACAAGAAACATCTAGAGGCGACAAGGGAGGTGAGTTAAGGGTTGTATTAGAAGTTTACAGACAGGGGATCTGACTTGAAAGTAAGCCATTAGAGGTGTGTTGAAGGTTGAGAAGTGAGGTTAGTTGAGAATTGAACAGAGGCTAATTGAGCTTGAAGTAGAGAGGAGAATTGAGGGTTGAGCAGACTGATGAACTCTCGGTTGAGTAGAGACACGGATTCAGGGTTGAGCAGGGGGGCGCGTTAAAGGTTGATTATAGGTATGTGTTTTAGGTTGAATGGATGGGAGAGCTGAGGGTTGAGCAGAGATGTGTTGATTGTTAGGCAGAGCAGATGGTTAATAGTTAAGCAAAAGGGGGAGAGAGAGAGAGAGGGACAGCGAGAGAGAACGAGAGTGATAGAGAGGGAGAGAGAGAACTAGAGAGAGCGAGAGAGAGAGAGAGAGAGAGAGAGAGAGAGAGAGAGAGGGGGTGAGGAAGGGGGCGCGATTTGAGAATCGAACAGAAGGCTGAGCTTGAGGGTTGAGCAATCAAGAAACTTGAGAGCTGAACTGAATATTGACGTCTGAGCTGAGGGTTGAGCAGAGAAAGGAATTGATGGTTAAGCAGAAAGGGCCTAGCTGAGAGCTGGGCTCAGGGCCGAGCCCAGAGGTGACGGTCGCTTTCGCCTTTGCAGGAGGGGGCCGACCGCCAGCAATGGGGCAGTAGCCTGGAGTTCCTCATGTCGTGCATCGCCATGTCAGTGGGGCTGGGCAACGTGTGGCGGTTCCCGTTCACGGCCTACGAGAACGGCGGCGGGGCCTTCCTCATCCCCTACATCATCGTCCTCATCGTCATCGGCCGCCCTCTGTACTACCTGGAGATGGGGATCGGCCAGTTCGCAAACCGCAGCTGCATCAAGATCTGGAACATGGCGCCGGCACTAAGAGGTTGGTGGATGCATAACGGAAAGTACGAAAACGTCTTGTCCGCATGAATAGATCGTATACGTCAATATCAGTGTTACTGTTGTCAATTTGTGAATAATTGAACCAATTTTCAGAATTAACAAGGCTGTCCGGGTGACGCCGCGTCCATGGCGATGGTGCCGACGTTTCGGTCGCCATTCTGCAACCTTCCTCAGGCCGTAATGCCGTAACGTCGGCACCTTCGCCATGGACGCGGCGTCACCCGGACAGCCTAGTAAATACGGACTCCGGCCGCGGAAGCCTTCGCTCTCCCATTTTCAGAGCTTACGCTAGGTCAATAAAATCTCGAGGAAACTTAAGGAAATATCTAATCTCAAACTAGATAATAAGAACTTCATTTTGTTGCCCATGTATCGTTGGCGGCTGAAAAGGCTTATTGTATTTATTAACACTTCATGTATTACATTTCTAGTGAAAGATTTTCAACAACGTTTTTTGAAACCTTGGGTCCTGAGAGAGGGACTCGGAAAATTGAAATATCATTCAATTGACGTTTATTTCAAAAGAGAATATTTGCAATTATATTAAGAATACATTTTTTGTAAGTTTTTAACAGTGCCAGCTGATATTATCTTCAGTCAGCTACGTCATTTCTCATGCGATTCTTATATCAGTCAAGAAAATATTTCAGAATAGCTATCTTCATTGATAAAAACTGCCGCATTTTTATTAGATCCTATTTTTTCGTTTTAATTGTTTTCTTATTAGAGTATTTTTATACACGTTTGCTGACCCAACGCCCAAGAAACGCCCTTTTCAAGGGTTTTGGTGGGTTCGTGTTTGCCAAACCAGTCAAGATGACATTACAATGAAATGGCACAAAAGTGCGCATTCCGGTCTCAAGTACGAGTAAATTATAATAAATTCAAGAAATTACAACTTTACTAATGTTTTATTCCTCTGATTGCTAGTTTTTGTTAGCCATCCTGAACAGATCTAGCACAAATTATGCTGATATCTGATCTATGTTTATTGATCATTTCAAATCCTATATTATTTCAGCATCCTATATTATTTCAGTATTATACATATTTTGCGGGTCCCACACGCACCCCGTTTCATAAATAAAGTCTCTAAATAAATATAATTTCACGAATACGTGACGCATTAGACTTTGACTTTATAATGTGAAGGATTTGTGAAAAAATGCATCTAAATATTTATGGCAATTGCAACCCTGGGCATTATTTATAGTTTGATAACCCCTAAAAAAAGCATCCTAGGGCCTTAAGACCTTAAATTTTGAAGACAAATGCCTCAAAGACACGTGTTTCATTTCATAATATACAAAATAAGATCTATGCAAACATTCTATTACTTTTGTCAATTCGGCGCTTCTTGATGCTATCACAGCACACTTATAAAACAGTGGCGCAGTTCAGTGTTAAATGCCTCGTGTGTTGTTCAGCCACTCTAGCGTTCCCTGCGACAACAAAGAAACACTTCACCGATTACATTCGATACTTGAGTCGTAGTACCACTTCGTTCTTCCAAATACGACCGAAAAGAAATATTGTTGAAATATTGATAAAGATGTATATTTTAATGTCCTCTCGAATATGCTTAAATGTACAACAGGTGAGGTACAATTTTCAACTATTGTTAAGAAAAAAAATTCTTTAAATCTAATTAATGTTGTCTATTGAAATTTAATTATGTAAATGTGAGGCTGATATTTTCTTTTGAAGAGGTCTGGTTTTTATATAAAGAGATATTGAGAAACAACCCCAATTATTTTTTAAATATTCAAGCTGTTCTTAAAAATGCAACTTCACAAACAATTCAGAGTACTTCAGCCCTGCCCTCTGGAAAGCAAAAAGGCGTTGTCTTTACGGATGTGACTTCAGCTCTCCGTAATTTATTTTATTTGTCACATGCGTCTTTAACCTTCGTTAACATGCAACTCTATAAGTTTGTTAAGTGCAGTTGTATCTACCTGTAGGTTAAGAAATTTAAAATTTTTAGCAACGGGTTTTAACATCCTTAGTAACCTAAATAAACAACCACGCATTCATCGCAAGTCAACATTGTGTATCTCAGCATAGAATAATATACCCATAATGAGGTTGGCTTATGTATCTGCGACTGTAAAACAACACGTAAGACAAAGATTTGTCTTTATAGAAGGAATAAGTATAAACTACCTCACTAAGTTCTTAAAGTACGCAAGCATTACATCTTCTGTAATAACGGATACGTGATTTTGTAATTGCCAAGATTTAAATTCTTCGTATGCCTTCTCGTATCGTGCTTTAGATTTTTCGGGGATTAAATCTCGCGTGGCTTCCGGAGCTCCATCCAAAATTTCTTGACGTACAGATGAATTTTCAGCGTCCATCATCCTCGAGCCACGGTATACAAGTTAATTGTTGAAATAGGTATATCACAAGCAATAACCAACAATATCGATTATCGTGCCGCAACAACAGAATTCATGTTTCATATCGCAGTAATGAAAATTTTCTCAAAAAATTTGAGATTTTATGATGACCGATAAAACGCTGAACATACCACGAAACGTTACAGTATTATTACTGCCTCGTCCAAATTAAAAATCTCCGCTTCGCTACGCTCCGCCACGATTTTTTAACTTTTGGCATCGGCAATAATAACACTCATAACATTTCTAGGTATTTTAATAGCTATTACGTTCACCAGGATCACTACCTGTAAGCGCGCATATCCCTAACTAGCCCCCCCCCCAAAAAAAAAGGCTGAGCTGCGCTTCTGTATGACCCCACTGTTCAGAGACATGCAGAATCTGCAACTGTATGCGAAATTAAACTAATTACTTGATATTATATGAAATTAAATTGCACGAGTGTAGCTCTGCGTAAGGTAATAAAGTTACATAATATTGCAAAGAGTAGGGTTACACTGGCCCCATCCTGCATTTCCCCATGAACCAATTTACGTAGCTTTCTCAGAAGTAAGTAGCTTTTCTAATGTTTTTTTACTATCAAGGAAAGTGAAAAGCTGTCGAGGAAGATTGTATAATTACTTCAAATATTTTTAAGGAAGTGTTGTGACTTGTTCCTAGATCAACTGTCCATATTACTGAATAAACCTTTTATGAAAATTTGTTTCAAATATAAATTGCATATTTTTTAAAAATTTTCGTTTGATATTCTGTAAATACATTGTAAGTTACCGTCACACATTTTTTAAACTAATAAACAAACGTTAACAACTTTTCCCCCTAATATGGATATGGAAGGACAGGGAAGAGGACAAATTTTCATTGATTTGCAAGCTGGCTTGTAAACCTATTGACTTGTATTCTAGGGGCCTGCAGCAACCAAAATGCTTATTACAACACATTGGGAAGTAGCATATATGCTGCTCGTGGTCACTAGCTTGTTGCAAATCTAATCACAACGGTTCAACCATCGCTACCTACTACCAAATTAAATTAAAACATTGGTAAACAGTTACGACGTTAATATTTGTTTCTTTTGTATTATTGATGTAATTAAGTAAATAATACCTTAATTTAAATATTGTTATTTAAAGTTTCGAACATCTTAAAAAAATATTTCATTAACTGGCAACAGAACAATTACCTAATCCCGGTATATCCCTGTTCATACTAAACTTCGAAATACAATCTCAAAATGTAAAGGAAAACGATTTGCAAACGGTTAGCAAACGACTGGTTAATTAACACATTGACTTGTAAATTTGTTTGCCTAGTTTCGTGTTAGTTTTCATTATTTTGTGTTAAAGACCAAAGTTGCAGATTTCTTACTAGCTGATCATGTCTCGTTTACGTTCTGGTCGTTCTAATTTACGGTTACGTTGTGAATATTGTATCGGAGACGGATTTGAGTCCTTACTCGAGTTATTTTGAGTGCAGCACTTAACACCTCTCACGTTAGCCAACAGTCAAACTAAAACTGGGCAGAGAATATAAAGGGAAGAGAAAGAGGGACATGAGGTTGTGTAGGTGAAGTAGAATCAGCCTTCTCACTTAGAGGAAGGGCACATAGATAATAAAACTGATCCTGTGAAATGGGTTAGATCTGAAACTCCCCTCTTATTACGACACAACTCTAATTTAAAATATATTATTTTTATAGCTGTTTTATTTTTACGATTACATTATTTTTCATAAGAAAAGAAACATTATATATCGTGGAACTTTAGGCTTAAAACACAAAATCCCTTTATTCACATAATAATAAAAATAACGGAAGAAACCTTAACTGTCTAAAAGGAAATAGTATGAGTTACAACCCATTTTACTTTCGTTATACTGTTGTAGAACAATACTATACCACGCCTTATACTATAAGACTGATAACTCGAAATTTCGGTTGTAAAATACGAGTTTAAAGTTCGAGCTGTAACTCTGCGCTAACGTTAGAATTAAGTTCTGCTAGCGCCGTTTTAAAGACGGTTGTAATTGGGGAAAGTATCGAGGGGATGTAAGGAAATTTGTACCAGAACATCAAGATGTCTAAAGATGATAGAAGTCTGAAGGATATAGCACGCATAACTCTATAACATTAGAAACTTTTGAACTGAAACTTGGTAAATACGCCAGGCATAAGAGCTAGTTGTGATGTTCGGAATACCTTTAAGATATTTTAATTTTGAGGATTCTTTACATTAAATTCATATTATCTTTACATGAAGGCCCTGTAAAATTTTCAAAAGTTTCAGTCAATTTACTTCATTAGATTTTAACATTTTTTTCGAATAGAAGAAAGATCATTTCGAAGAAGAAAAGCAAAGAAAAACAGAAGTATACTGTAACCTTTACCTATCTGTGGTTGATACAGATACCATCGCTACATTCAAATAGCGCGGGCAAGAGGTTAGAAACCGCAATTTATATTTATTCTGAGACATTTGAATTGTAGTGTCTGTGCCGACTACGTGGTAGGGAGCAACGGTAGAGAAGGCTTTGAGGCGCGAGAGAGGAAGGTCGAAAAAGTGTGCTATTGCGGAGTGGTGAACTTG